CACAAAAGCAAAACATATATTTTTAGCAATTCTCAGAATTTTGTTTGAAATCGTTTGATGGTTACTAGAGTATCATGTGTTGCCTCATGCTTTGACCAAGTCTACATATTTTATGGTTGGTTGAGAAATGTTTTAATAGATGTCCCTTAGATGCATAGGAGGGAGGAGAGTATTTATATATAAGATATTTAAGATTTATTTATGGTGAACATACTTAGCACATCCTTGGGACCTAAGCCCTGGAGACAAAGATGTAGTAAATTGGTGTTGCCATCAGTCATACTGTTTCTTGCTTTAGTCATTCTTGCTTTAGTAAAGATATAATGAAAATCTTCAAGGTATTCTAAATAATAATTATTCAATATACTAAACTTACTCCATCCTGAGTCCTGAGCTAGGTGACAACACCACAATTTAAAAAAGACTAACTGCTCACTATAGTCATACAAACAACTTCCAGCTAGATTTCTTTACTGAATATGCAGAAGAGAAGGCACTTGAAGGTCAAATGGATTATCCAAGTTATGACCAAGCTATTCAGTGATTGAACATTGTCTGATACAATGGAAAAATGGGACAAAAAATTTACAATTCGTGGAGAAGTAAAGGACTAGCTGCTCATTATAATCATTCCATTTTTTTCTTCGATTGATCTGATTTTTTTTCAATACTTATGTGATAATGTGACTAATCTAGCCCAATACCAGTGTGATAACGTTTAAAATTTTGACAGAAGAATTAGATAAAATGTGAAGAAAAAAAAACAGCAATAAAACTCAAAAGGCTATCAAAATAATGCAATTTGTACGAGTAAGCAGGGAATACTAAGGAAGGGAAGACTGAGCAACTCCCGCCTATCGGTAACAATGGCTGTGTGCTCCTTGTCGTGATCGGAAAAATGGAAGAATCCTTAGACAATTTAGTGTGAAAATAATGGTTTAAAAATTTGAATGAGAAGCAGCAATATTTGTATTTGATAACAAGGCCTTTCTGTCGACCATAGAATTTGCGAATTATCCACCTTAAACAGTAATGTTGATCTCCTTGTACCATCAACTTATTTTTCGATAACTGTCCTGTTTTAGAAAATTCAACTTTATCTTATTTTTGCATATCGAGCCAACTTTAAGATAAAACCTGCATAATATGCATATGATAATGGTATATTTCTTCATTTAAAAAAAGAGAATGGCAATGCTAGTGTCGTGAGGTTACCATTTTATTGTCTTTTCTTTCAAAATATCCAAAAATTAAACTGACATTTAGACTCTGTGGTGTGTTTAAATTCGAGTTCAAAGGGTAATTATTTCAAATAAACTTATCAATGCATTATGCTTTCCTGAAAAATGACCATAAGTTTTTTTTAAGTTATTTTTTTAGAAGAATGCATGGCAGCGGGTCCACATGATACTCACAATTTTTTTTTTAGCCATTGAAACAATACATACCTACCAATCTAACTAGAAACTGGTTCAATCTTTCATCTAAGAAAAAAAATTAATAATAAAAAAAATATGGACGGCGCATATATAATGACTGTTCAAATGGAACAAACAGTAATAGTCATATTTTAAACTGGGGTGACCTAAAAAGCAATGCAAATTTATGACAATTATAAATTCAAAGATTTGATTCTAAGCGTCATCAAGAAAAACAATGTACTTATATTTCTATATTTGATTTTACAGCGAGTTCTGACGGAATACGTACCCAGTCTACCTTATACTCCGTCGGACCATTATGGTGTACAGGCAACTGTGGTGGACAAAGGAAACCATGTAAAGGTGGATGTTAGATACAAAGAAGCTAATTGAAGAATTTATAAATGGCACTTACTTAGAGTAAAATTGTTAGATAATTTTGTAAATCACATGTGCAGTATACATGTATATTACATTTACAGATTGTCAAATACACTAGTATGTCTCCTTACTGTATGCTGTTGACATGAACTCTAGTTAGAATTAGTATTTTAAATAAAAAATTAAGGGGTATTGAAATTTATCAAGTCCCCTCCTTTCTTCTTTTTTCCAAAAGAATTTTACTTGACATATGACATGTGTATTTAAATTTTCAAAATGCAATGTTCAAGTTATCATAATTTTGATTGGACACTTTTCAACGTCACATAATACCTGGTGAAGATTGTACCCAGTGCCCACCAATGGCAGTGTTGGCTGGTACAATTTTGGAGACCATTTATCTTACTTCTGATGTATGAAACAACGTTGGATTTGCGAACCCATTGGGCACTGACACAAACCCCTCTACTTTAGCCGCTTAAGATCAAACTCTGAGTCTAAATTTGTTCATTAATACCCTGTGGGCTGCAAGAAGCTCCTCGGGATTTTGTTCAAACAATCAAACAGTGTCATAAAGTCCAACGGCAATGATTACTAGTATTCATTCAATATGCTAACAAACTACTAGTAACCTCAAGATATATTTTTTTTACTTCAAAAGTAAAACCATTTGTAATCTGAATTTGTACCCAAAAGGAAGGGGTGAAATTGTACAATTTTAGTAAGTGATGACTGTTCCTTGTACTGTGTGATGGTTTCTCCGAACCATCACGAAGGCATGATAGAGGGACTGCAAATGTTTTGTAATCTGCCTTATGAACCGTTCGTAATACATCAGATACTATATTCGAAAAGGATTTGTTCATTTTGTTGCCTTGAAGAGTCAACAGACACAAATGAATATGTATTTTCTTAAACAGCTTTTTTTTTAATTTATAACAATTCAAAATCCAAACAATTCTTTTTTCAGTTCTTGTTGGTGCCGTGGCCAGAATGGATCATGTGATGTAAATGGCATCCAAACCAATGTCTCAGAACAATATATGTGCCAAACAAAATCATGAAAATGTTTGAATTTATTGTTTTTGCCTGTACATATGTAAAATAATCAGTGAAAATAACAATGAGCTGTGATACAACATTTTTACTAGACAATTAACATGATCAAGTAATTTTATTATTTATTTTCTAAGAAATCCTCTCCGAACTGGTTCAGAATACTACATGTAGACTTTGATACTGTCATAAGATAGTAACAACCTCACGTAGGCGTTTGCCTCTAGATGTACTTAACTTTCATATTTTGTTAACAAGGGAAGAAGCAACTTTATACTTTAAAAAAGTCGGTTTTCGACCCCTAGCAGGTACGAATCAAACTCCGGAAAGCTTTATGCAAAACTACAGGCCACTCCTATACTTATCCCAAAATATAACGGGAAAATCTAAGAGTATTTCAGGGAATCAGATTTTCGAAAAATAAAAATTATGCTTGACTCCCAAACGCCACTAGGGTGCAATCAAATTTCCAGAACCACATCTACGGGACACCAACAGTTTCTGTAGATCACGTAATTTTCACCAGATATTCATTCCTTATTAATGAGACAAACTTTTTACGAATTGTGGATATTGCTTCATATAATCGTTAGGGATACTAATTAATATGAGCGGTAATGAAATTTTCGTGAGCACACTATCTCGCGTAAATACAGGAAAATAAGTTCCCGTACATAAAAAGTGAGTTACAGTATCATATGGGTGCCAATTGCGCCCTGTTATTAGCAGACCTTTTTTTGTATTCATATGAAGCAGAATTTGTCCAAAATCTCATAAGTGAAAAGAAGAAAACGCTGGTTGTGGCCTTCTCCTAACAAAAAATACTATAGTAAACTATAGTTAACTATAGTTTACTATAGTAAATCAAAGTTCCAGAGTTTTCACCATAGTAAATCAAAGTTCCAAAGTTTCCACTATAGTAAATCAAATTTCCAAGTGTTTACTATAGCAAATCAAAGTTCCAAAGTTTTCACTGTAGTAAATCAAAGTTCCAAAGTTTTCACTATAGTAAATTAAAGTTCCAAAGTTTTCACTGAATCAAAGTTCAATTTTTTTTTAAAAGTTCCATTTTTTAAAATATCTTTAGGCCATTATAAACACACTAAATGTCGACAACTTTTTCCATTATTTCCCGATCATGACAAGGAGCACACGGTGTGTTTGATCGCTCGGTAGTGGATGCTCCCTCCTTCATGGCACCTTATCCCATGTACCTCTGATCTTTTGGAGGTCCGTGTATGCTCTGCTCCTATTCTGTATTGTTTGATGGACTTTAGAGCTTGAATACTGTTCGTTTTCTCAATATATTTCATTGTACAAAAATATTATTAGATACAACAAAAATGTAAGAGATCAACTAGTGTCATTAAATTGTTCATCATATTGGTGCGATTTAAATTAAATCAAACAAGTAAAGGTTGACGTACTTTTATTTAACCAAGAACAACCTCTACACTAAGAATAACCTCTAAACTTATATTGTTAAGTTTTCAAAAAAAAAAAAAATGAATATAATTTAAAGATTTTGAAAAGAAGGTTTCTTTGACCGTAAATAAGGATGGAAAATTCTTCAAATAGATACAATCTTCGGGTCACTGTCTACACTGTCGTTTATTTGTTAAATTTATGAATGACAGGCTTAACATATTTAACTTACTGTTAACCTTAGTACAGTCAAATATCGAGTATCCCTTTGTCGCAATTTTCTTTCTAATTCGTCACTAGAATGGAACCACAGGAATTTTAGAACAATAACTAAATAAACTTAACAAGTTTGTATTGCAATTATCTTACTAACTCTTACTAGAATTGACCTTTGGAATTTTGAAACGATAACTCAATAAAAAAAAATGACTCGATAAAAGAAAAAGTTTTATTTCTTTATTTACCTTTTTCGCAATTTTTTGTGATTCATATTAGGAAGAAAAGGAGGACAACAAAAGAAGAATACCCCTTTTCGCAAAAAAAGATGACGTTTTAAGAATGTCTTTGGAATGTTTAGTTTTCACTTTTATGTATATGTGGAAATCAAACTATTTAAGCTTATCAATTATTACCTTTTTTCGGTTTCGAATTTAGAGTATATATAAAGGTGCATAGAAATATTAATTGTATGTAACAACGCATTAATTATATTGAAGGATGAAGTTGGGTAAGGATTTAGTATTTTCACTTATTTCATATATATATTAGTTGACTTCATTGTTTCTTACATCACAGCTTTAATTTAGAATCAAAAGAAATATAATTTTTAAGTAAAATCTCAGTAACAAGTTAATCAAATTTATAACGTTTGTATTTTATAGCTTCTTTTTAAAATATCTATGGATAAAAACATGAATTTAAAGAATTTATAGAGTAGATAGTCCGATCCTTCATAAAAACAGTTAAGTAACTGAAAATACTCACAGAAATATCTCTGAATTAACAACGTAAAGTATATATCACTACACAAAAAAGAAAGTCATTACAGGTAGTCATATTCTGTATAGAAAATCATCAAATCTCCAATACATATATAGGGAAAGCAAATAGATTAAACATCTAATTAAAAATTGATCAGCAAATAAAATTTAGGTGAAAAAAACTATTGGTAACCAACCATTGAGAGAAAATTTCTTGTTTTTAATTCTTATTTGGTATTGTAGCGCATCTATTGCCTTCAATTATTATAATAAATTATTATAAAAAAAAAAAAGCTTGTGCTATCATTGGAAGATATCACAGATCACTTCTAATTTTAAATCATGATAATAAGAATTTGCATTTAAGGTCAGATTAAAAAAATCCATTTCTCTAAACATGTATTTCTTTGATTTTTTAAGGGAACCAATGACTCTTTACAATACCCTTTCCAAGACTCCAAGGAACTTTTAATTATATTTAAATACCTGTACATGTACTTAAAATGAAAATTGTTTCATGAAAAGTTTTCAATTTCAAGCTCCATGTTGAGACTTGGTGCATGGTAGCCCCGTATCATTTCGGGACGTAATAGGCGATATAATAAACTCAAAATATATGCAATTTTCTCTTCTGTTAGACATTTCCATCATTACAATGACCAATGAACCTTTATTTAAACTGTTGAATTTACATCCCGCTGCATGGCTTTATGTTTCTGTTTTCATTGCGAGACTTGGTGAGTGATTGCACTTCAAAAAACATTTGTTTACTACTGGCCATTAAAATTTGAATTTCATAAATTATATATCGATATATATTAATTCATGACACATTGGACCAAGGTTTTAGCCCCAGATCGTCTTGGAATAATTGGACAAAGCCGGTGAAATCATAAAGCTCAGATACTCGGATGAACGTCTTATTGCCAAAATCCTCTTGTCTTTTATATGGCTTCTCGTTTTTGACAGAAAACCACATTGATATTTATTGATATTATTTTTAGTTACCAACAGGTCAAACATTACAAAACAATACCACCAATACTTCAGCTCTTCCCAAGGAACTAAATGAGAATGAAAAATGGGGCTGGTATAATATAAATTCATTTCCTCTGCTTTTTTTTTTTGTTTGTAAATTTCAGGATTAGGGTTAGGGTAAGGGTAACTTTTTATCAGAAGATAGACATATAATATGCTAAATTAAAACATTATAAAGTTTGTAAGATTGTCGGCTGAACATTCGACGGATATGGTAGACCTTGTGGAATTACATGTAATTCATTTCAAATATTTCTAGATTGCCAAGTGTTTTACGAAAAACTAAACAAAATGTCACTTATAGGCCTAATCATTTGCTATTTCATGCATCATTGTAACAAAATATGAAGATAGTTAGTAGTAATCAATAGTTCATTACAAAAAGTGAGCAGGGAAATCACGGACCTCAAAAATATCAGAGGTGGATTGGAGAAGTAGGCTTCCCTGTCGATCTGTTACATCCATCTTATCTCTCTGTCATGATCTGATAATCGGATAAAAAGTGTGAAATACTAGCATGTCGATTTGCATTAGGAATGCCGGGCGACATTTGAATAAAGCAAATTAAGTTAACTTTAAACGATACTTCTGCATGATACCTCTGCATGATACCTTTGTTTCATCCACTTTTTGTTAAGAGCTTGTCTTTTGGAATCGGGTCCTGCTCCTACTTAAGATGACACAATTCAACATTTCTTTATTGTCAAACAAGCTGACGTGTATAATTTCAGAATTGTGGTTGGCTTATAGTATTCATATAAACCACGACCCACCTTTTTGGCCGTTGCAAGGGACTTTTTTCTTAATCTGAGTTCAAAGTGATTTTGAATCAACTTTAAAAAAAAGTGTCAATAAATTATTAAACATCTTTGGTATATTTGAATGTCGAACTGCAGGCCGTTGCGAGAAACTTTCTTTTCAGATAGACAGAAACAGATGTGTCTGTAACGGGTCACAATTAGTATTTTTTCCAAAGGTGGAATAAGTGGTTTTCAAAACTAATAAATGTATACATGTATATCGTTAGAATGTCTAACAGTATAAGAGCACTTATATGAACTTTTCAGCTATCGCCATCCACGTTGTGTTGTCCCTGTCTCTACACACAGATGGGTCTATTGCATGTAATGATCGGTTGAGAAGCTACCAGTTTTGTATTGATGTATGCCATCCATGTTCAGGGTCTTTGATAGAAGGTTCTGGTTTTGCTCTAGTTCGACAAAACTTTCGGAATACCCTAAACAATCTCAGAAGTTCACTCTGGGAAATAATCGAGCAGCTTACCAATTCCAAACGAGAATACGTAAGAACATTTTAATTTACCATATGCTTAGTTTTTCTGCAAGTCCAGCGATTGAAAATACTTACATTTGATTCTTTTAATGAAATCACAATTTAAACAGACCATTTTTACCTTCTTTGTTTAGATTATCAAAGATTTAGATAAAAAAGAATGACAATTTTAAATCAAAAGACATGAAGATACAAATGGGTCAACATTATCATGATTTTGGGTATGAAATTATTTCTCAAAGAATTACATAAGAAAAATTCTTTTCAACAGGAAAGATCAATTTTTAGAGATGATATCTCCATTATTGAACAATTTGAAACTGCCGAGGATTTAACAATATCTACTGATGTTACGGGAAACTGTGAAATTGTAAGTTCCCATTGTGCTTTAATTGTATTTCATTTAATTATCAATAAGCATGTACAATGATTGTTTTTGTCAAAAATATTTTGGGGAAAATGTTTCTGTTTATTTTTATACAATAACCGTGTCTGTGCACGTTGCTATTGGTACTTTTATCGTTGATTGGCATTTCAGTGTATTTTTTTTTTCTTTCAAAGAATCGTTCTCATTTACGATTGGTGGAACTCCTTACAGAAATCTCTTTACTGATGAAACCTCTTCACACTGGATATGCCATACAAAAATCACTGACCATCCCATGGTCTGACAACGTCATACGGAATGTTTTGTGTTACCTCAAATTTTTACCCACTGTAAATTCTGAAGACAAAGTTAATATTCCTTGCTCATATGTTGTAAAATTCAGACGTTTAGGAACTGGCAAAAGGAAACTGTTTGCATTGTGGATGCTGAGGAGAATCCAGGCCGCAATAGATTTAACACCGGAAATTGATTCAGCGTTTACTATGATACGGAATAATGCTTCGAATTATGTTTAAATTTTACAGATATATTTCTTATTCAACCCAATTTCAATATTTATAGTAATCTATTTATTAAAAGTAAAATTATTACATTTTTATATTGATGCGAGATACAATCATTATGTTATTTATGAACAAAAGTTAAATTTATTGAAAGTTTAAATAGTCTATACCTGATTATATTTTAATTTTTTCATATTAATGAAAGGTGAAAATGTTATTCATTAAAAAAACAACCACTTTCTACTTTTGCTATTCAAACCATTTACAAATGCTTTTTGAATTTACAATCTGAAAAACAAGTATTTTTCTTTTATATGATTATATTAATTATCAATGTGTTTGTTGTATTTTGTTTGTCATACATGTATATATTGAATAAAGACTATAAAAATATACTCTGGTTTTTTTTTTTTTACCAAAAACTACGAAGTAATAATTTCTATAGAAATCATTAACAAAACTCCTTTTTAAAAATTGTAACAGCAAAAATACGGATTCTGAGACACTGAGGGACAAAGTATAACGTAAAAAAAGGAAAAGTATTATTTAAAATTCCAGACAAAACGTCGAACATTATATATGCTAGTATTGATAAATAAACATTTGCATTCAGTGTGTTTTTAGCTCACCTGAGCCAAAGGCTCAAGTGAGCTTTTCTGATCAAAATTTGTCCGTTGTCTGTCGTCGTCGTTGTCGTCGTCGTCGTTGTCGTAAACTTTTCACATTTTCATCTTCTTCTCAAGAACCACTGGGCCAATTTCAACCAAACTTGCTACAAAGTATCCTTGGGTAAAGGGGATTCAAGTTTGTTCAAATAAAGGGCCACGCCCTTTTCCAAGGGGAGATAATTATGAATTTGAGAAAAATTAATGGCATTTTTATAAAATCTTCTTCTCAAGAACCACTGGGCCAGGAAAGATGAAACTCATGTAGAATCATCCTCAGGTAATGTAGATTCAAGTTTGTTCAAATCATGACACCCCGGGGGTAGGGTGGGGCCAAAATGGCCGATCAAAGTTTAACATAGGAATACATAGGGAAAATCTGTAAAAATCTTCTCCTCAAGAACCAATGGGCCAGGAAAGATAAAACTCATGTGGAATCATCCTCAGGTAGTGTAGATTCAAGTTTGTTCAAATCATGACCCCCCGGGGGTAGGGTGGGGCCAAAATGGCCGATCAAAGTTTAACATAGGAATACATAGGAAAAATCTGTAAAAATCTTCTTCTCAAGAACCACTGTGCCAGGAAAGATAAAACTCATGTGGAATCATCCTCAGGTAGTGTAGATTCAACTTAATTCAAATCATGACCCCCGGGGGTAGGGTGGGGCCAAAATGGCCGATCAAAGTTTAACATAGGAATATATAGGAAAAATCTGTAAAAATCTTCTTCTCAAGAACCACTGGGCCAGGAAAGATGAAACTCATGTGGAATCATCCTCAGGTAGTGTAGATTCAACTTAATTCAAATCATGACCCCCGGGGTAGGGTGGGGCCAAAATGGCCGATCAAAGCTTTACATATGAATACATAGGAAAAATCTTTAAAAATATTCTTCTCAAAAACCACTGGGCCAGAAAAGATGAAACTCATGTGGAATCATCCTCAGGTAGTGTAGATTCAAGTTTGTTCAAATCATGACCCCCGGGGGTAGGGTAGGGCCACAATGGCTGATCAAAGTTTTACATAGGAATATATACTAAAAGTCTTCTCAAGAACCATTGAGAAAGGAAAGATGAAACTCCTGTGAAATCATCTCCAGGTAGTGTAGATTCAAGTTTGTTCAAATCATGACCCCCGTGGGAAGGGTGGGGCCAAATGGCCGATCAAATTTTTACATAGGAGTATATATTAGGGAAACCTTTTAAAATCTTCTTCTCAAGTACTTCAAAGCTATGCTTAGTGATATTTATAGGGAATCATCCTCAGGTAGTGTAGATTCTAATTTGTTCAAATCATGACCCCCTGGGGGGTTCAAATTCAAGCCCCCTCCCTCCCCCTCCCCCCTCAGTAAACTTTCAGTTCTGATCTGATATGTACCTAGCCAATTGCTCAGGTGAGCGATGTGGCCCCTGGGCCTCTTGTTCCTTATGAAATCGATTGGAAATCTACAATGTTCACATCTCGATATACATAACATACACGAAACCTTGTCACTGTGAGGTAGAATACATGAAATATATATAAATATAAATATATATATACATATATATATATATATATATAAATTTAATGAATTTCTTATACGGTTATAACGAATTACGGATATAGCGAAGTAATTTCAAAGGTCCCAGCGACTTCGTTATAACCGAGTTTTGCTGTATATATATATATATATATATATATATATATATATATATATATATATATATATATATATATATATATATATATTTATATATATATATATATTAGTTTAAGAGTTGTTGTAAAATGTGCTTTATAAATAATAATTAATTCATTACAACATGTATTGGTAACAATCCTCTGTTAAAACTAATGTCCAAATAACTGTATCTCACTTCTATTCTCAGTGACCATGTAGTGTAGGACAGCGCCGCGAGAATTCCATCGGCATCGAAAGCAAGTTTTTTGACTTGCCTAGATAGCCGAGCGGTCTAGCGCGCTGTTCCTGCACTGCTAGGAGACATATTCCGAAGGTCGAGAGTTTAACCCCGGGCTGGGGCGGAAGTGGGTATCCATGTAAAAGTGAATTTCTTTGTGCTTTCTATGTTAATATTTCTTCACTTAGGGCAGTTATGTTAGTTTAAGAGTTGTTGTAAAATGTGCTTTATAAATAATAATTAATTCATTACAACATGTATTGGTAACAATCCTCTGTTAAAACTAATGTCCAAATAACTGTATCTCACTTCTATTCTCAGTGACCATGTAGTGTAGGACAGCGCCGCGAGAATTCCATCGGCATCGAAAGCAAGTTTTTTGACTTGCCTAGATAGCCGAGCGGTCTAGCGCGCTGTTCCTGGGAGACAGATTCCGAAGGTCGAGAGTTCAACCCCGGGCTGGGGCGGAAGTGGGTATCCATGTAAAAGTGAATTTCTTTGTGCTTTCTATGTTAATATTTCTTCACTTAGGGCAGTTATGTTAGTTTAAGAGTTGTTGTAAAATGTGCTTTATATATATATATATATATATATATATATATATGGACAGAAAACGAAACAGTATTCAAGCTCAGAAGTCCATCAAACAATAGAAAATAAGAGAAAAGCAAATACGGACCTCCAAAACATCAAAGGTTGGATCAGGTATCATGAAGGATGAGTATCCTCCACCGATCGGTCACACCCGCCGTGTGCTAATTGTCCTGATCGGGAAATAACGGAATAATCCGTCGATACTTCAGTGTGTATAAAATAGCTTAACAATTAGTACATTGTATGAAATATGCCAGTCAGCATATGACAAATTGTATTTAACTCATTCTTCAGTACTGAGTTCAGATGTGTGACCAAAGGGTTATTTTTTAAAAATAATCAATTTCATAATTTATGTATATTAATTGAGTCAGTACCCTTCCTGCTTCTGAAAAAAATTGATGGGAAGATAATCTGAAGTCTTAAAGAGGAGATAGGTGTCCAAATGTACAAGCATGTCTGAAATTTTATGTACGTAACTTGGTGTCCACAGTGACTGTTTTTTAAATCAATAAGCTATTCTTTTCTGGTGAATACTTTTTGAAGTATATAAACACTAGTTTGCATGTTTTATTGCATGACTTATTTCTACCTTATTCCATTACAATTAGAAAATATATCCAAGATTATCAATGGACACCGTTACTTACATAAGCACTAAACAAGTAACATGTTATAGAATTGAACAAGTTGTTAAAATATGAAAATAATGTAATCAAAAAGGTATGATGAAATCATGTTTAATTTTATATTAAATGGAATTTATTTAAAAAGTCACAATTTTTATTTCTAGTTTCAAACAAGGAGAAATTATGTAAGTAACATGGACACCTAACTCCGAATCAGGCTTTAAAAACGAACAAAAAAAATAACAAGACAATCGAACACTTGTCTTTAATTCTTTTAATATTTCATTTCAAAGCTTAATAATAGACTAGCTTTCAAAGAGAATTAATGCAGACAAGTAAATTGTCAGATGGATTGCTAAATATCCTAGGTCTTCTATTTTGAGTCTTGGATCTTTGTGTCATTGTTACGAACATAATTCAGTCATTTCTTGTAAATCTGAAAGAAAAAATATATAAAAAAAACAAAATATAACATGATGTAATCAACACATATGCTGTTTAATTATATTTATTATATATCCTTGATAAAACCAGAAAGAAGGCAATTAAAGTACAAATTATGTCACTACTTCAAGTTTTCGTGTCTCTGTTATGAACGTAATTGCGTAAATGATATGGCAACATTAAAACAAATATTCAAAAAGTATTCATCCTTTGATAAGAGCAGAACAAAACCAACAAATATAGAATAAAATATAGTACAATATAACTTTATCATTAATAGATTATACAAATAATGCAAAAACACATGTTCGTAACAAAAGACGCGAATCAAAAGTCAAATGTTAAACCAAAAGTACTCGACTCGGACAGATTTATGCATTTTGTATGGTCATAAGGGACATATTTCGGTTTCTGATTAATGGCTACATGGTATAGAGATACAATGACTGTATTTATGTGTTAAAAATTCATAAAATTGATACAATATGAAAATACTTACCGAATCTATTATGTACGTAACTTCTGTCTTCCACGTGGACACAATGAGCATCCCCATGTTTTTTGCAGACAGCTGCGCAGCCTTTCTACTTTCGTTTTCAATTTATAATTATAGCACTGCTATGGACTTCCTGAGCCAAACTTATGATTCATTGGCTGTTATTTTAGCAATCATACTGAAAGCTATATGTTCATAACGGTCAGCAGAAGGATGAAACGTACGCTCAACTAGGACCTTAGGTCCCCTGCACAGTTCACGACTATCGGGCCTGTTTACTCCGCTACAAAATGTAGTGCATGCGTTGCATACGTAAAGTGAAAATAGAAGAAATCGTAATACTGTGAAGCCTTGATACATTGTAAATAAACCCAGAAAATTTATTTTTGTCAAAGGAATAACCATCTGATGGGTATAAGAAAAGATAGATGGGTGTGTGTGTGGGGGGGGGGGGGGGGACTGAGCAACATTAACTGCAATATTATAAGATATATGATATACATGTATAAGAGTTTAACATTTATGGATTTTGTTGGGTGACCTGTGGTCTCATCTATGATTTTATTATTCCATGTAAGGTTAAAGTATCTAGTGCTTAACCTCTGATCTCCTTACTAATATAGTAAGCGACTCAGAGTAAACGACGCCGACGGTCCAGTTGATCACTAACAAGCTAGGGGAGGATGAAGATCTTGCCACCTACCACCCCATACCTCTTCACTTCGCTCGGACTTTTCACCAATCCTTTAACATAATGAAATAATTATTTGTTAATAAATTATCTAATGTCTCCTTTGTCTTCCTTATGATGTCATGCTTCAATAGGCGACCTCATCACTTTAACACTTTTTAGTAAACCCCTGATTTTATTTATTTTACAAAGAAGATGTACCCCCTGTATTGCGAAGTTTGGGGCTGCATAGAATTCTCCTCCCCTTTCCCTGGAATTAACCCATCAAATTCATAAATCAATCAAAACTACTGTAACGTTTCTGGGTGTAGTGGTGGTTTTGGAATACTTTGTATTCTCTTACCACTCTATGGTTTACCCCGTTACAGAAATTATACGTGGGTCTCTTATTTCTGAAATTTACCCAATAACAAGAAAAGATGGTCAATTTTCTATAAATTTATTAAAAATCAAGAAAAACAGTTAAAACAGCTAAAAAGTCAGGAATTTACTAAAATATGGCCAAAATCAACAAAAAGTGGCAAAAACTTGGAAAAATGGGTATTTTTATCCCAAAAATGGGTAGACTTCACCTAATGTGGGAAAATCAAGGGACCCAAAACACTGGGTATTAAATGGCATCAGATTCACCCAACTTATAATATTCAGCACAAAATGTACTTATCAAAGTGGGATCATTACCATTCTTATGGGCGCTGCAGGCTCCATACCCGTGAGCAGTGCTGAGACTACTGGTGAATTTCTCTCTGGGCCTTTATTATATAGGTTTTCGTTGATAAGTGAGAACCGCGTCACGCGCAACACATACGTAAGGTACCGTACGAGTTGGCGCCGTTTTTGTTAGACACAGTACACAAAGTTAACAATCGCACAGAAGTGGCGATTAGGTAATAATAAGGTGTTGCATATATTATATGCTGTAATAGAGTTAAAGAAAGATGCCTGGGTAACGTTTAGGTGAGTCTACTTTTTAGGGTGTCTTTTGTTTATAGTATGGGTCTGTAGGAAATTAGGCTGGACTGAGGACATCGGCCTGGATAGCTCAGTGGTTAGAGCACCTGACTAGAAATACAGGGGTCCCGGGTTCGATTCCCGGTCCAGCCATATGTTTTCAATATATATGTATTTATGAATTTTCAATGTATGTTTACTCATTCCTCCTTTCCATACTACAGATGGTGCCGTGGCCTACCTTGTTCAGGCAATGTATAATTACTAATGTTAAAGTCCTGACAAGGTGAACTTGAGTTGTGTCTTCGGGGTCGAAGACTATTTAAGGAAGGGGGAATGTAGGAAATTAGGCTGGACTGAGGACATCGGCCTGGATAGCTCAGTGGTTAGAGCACCTGACTAGAAATACAGGGGTCCCGGGTTCGATTCCCGGTCCAGCCATATGTTTTCAATATATATGTATTTATGAATTTTCAATGTATGTTTACTCATTCCTCCTTTCCATACTACAGGTCATTGTAAATGGGTTCGTTTAATCGAGGAAATTCGGGATGTAATATAAACGTATAGTAAACAATCAATACAAGTTAATATATGAACAATACGTTTTCGTGATATCATTTTCATAATATCTAAGGCACACAACAATAATTCATTTATATATTATTAAAAGGGGCTTATAGACAGGGATAAGATGTCAACATTCAACATGTGTAACACAGCTCCCCTTCCTTTTTAACATTCGTCCCGAATGTTGTGCAGGTAAGAACTCTTACGAAGTAATATAATTTGTTTTCATGGGATAATCACCATTTAAGAAACACTAACTACTTTCTGAGTTCAATTACAACATTTTATGGGATAACAAGCACTCAAAACATAGTATAACAATTATAACAATATTTTAACAGTATAACATTCAAATAATAATAATTTTAACATTTTTAAAAAAAAAAACATTCTGAGGTAGCATTGACATATTACAAATATAACAAACAAACAAATAAATAAAGTTTATATATCAAATTTCATCTTTCATCATTCAAGTCTCTAGAATTTCACACTGGTCTGGGTATGTTGGTCACTGTGATGGAATGTATTTCAATAATGGTTCCAGGTGTTTCGTGAGATTGTCTAATTCATAGAACACGCATTCTTGGTACAGTTCTTTTATAGCATGGAAACTGGCAGGCAGGACCAGGTCTGACGTACAACATCCATTTCGTAGAAAGTCCAGAATGACGGGGAAATGCTTCGGGTTTCGATCTATGAACAACGTTTCAGAAGTTTTGGATGATAAGGCAGCTAATAATGAGGAAGGATCTTCTTGTAAAGTTGACTTCGTGGTGGTAAACTTGGTACCCCCAACGTCCAACGTGATGATCTCTTTTTGCCTGGCCATCATGTCTTTTACTTTCAGCTCCTGTTTACTAGTCGGTTTGTATTGTGCGCCTGTTGTTTCTGGGACAGTATATTCCTGAGGAGGGTCAATGACGCCATCAGTCATGATTGAGAGTTGATCTGCTTTCTTGGAGACAATGGTGTCTTTATCATACGCTGACTTATGGGCGGAATTGGTAGAGGAGGAATCGGAATCTGTGGACATCGAGAGATCTTTGTTAAGGCCGGTAGGGCGCGCATTTGCTTTTATGGAAGTGGACGTGGTAGTGATAACGGCAGTTGAGGTTTTGGTTTTGGAAGTGGTGCCTAAAGACATGGAGGACGTTGAAGTTGGAGTAGTGGTCGTTGGTTCTCTGGCTGTATAGTTAGTGCCTGCGTCGCCGGTAGGGGGACACAAAGGAAGATCCATCAAAGAAGGTAGTTTCTGTAAAGCTCTGTTGGGAGCTTGGCCGTAATACGTCTTCTTCTTTGGGATAACTGGATCAGTGAACTTGGTTCTTCTTTTGGAGGGCGCCAGGTTGGTGTTCCCGAGATTAGTTTTAGCGGGCTTTTGTATGGGCTGAAAAATTTGGACCGGTTTTTCTGGAATGTTTGGAATTCAAGAGCCTCTTCTCCCGTGAAGGTTCCAGTTGCTCTCTTCACTATTTGGAATGTGTAGCTCAAGCATCCGTGTTTTTGGTCGGTCCTTGCAAATACCAGGCTACAAGAAGAACACTTATGTCCGAAACCCGAATGAGCAGAAGTGATATGTCTTTCACAATGACTAGGAAGGTTGAATTCTTTGTCACAAATGGTACAATTGTATTTTTGGATCTGAAATTTAAAAGAGGTAATCAAACTTTAAAGAGCATAAAATGGATTAAGGAGTTGTACGGCATAGGGGATCCAATCATCACTTAGGTAGTAAAGGGGGGTTATCTCCCTTATATGGCTTCAATAAGTTATGATGGACGATTTTAGGTTTATGTTTAAGAGTTTTTCTGATTTTGTAAACAACATCATTTACTCTTTTAATAATAGGGACCTACCCATGGTCTACATAACTTTTTGCCATGTTTCACATATTTTGGGGAATAGAACCAAACCGCATCACCCACTTGGTATAAGTGTTGGTGAACCTTTTTACTATATTCCCTAATCATATGTTTTGATGATAATTGGATTCGATTGCGGGCATGGTCATGAATAACTTCTAATTTGTTTGCCAATTGATTTGCAAATTCAGACCCGTATTTTTGTTTATGTATTTCAGAGTCTGGAGTGCCAAGAACAAGGTCAATGGGTAAGTGGATGGGTCTACCAAAGACCATTTCATTAGGGCTAACTCCTGTTGATTCATGAATAGATGACCTATATGCCATCATGAGTAGGGGAATATATTCATCCCAATTCTGTTGGGTATCATTTACGAAAGTGGAGAGCATATTTTCTATAGTGCGGTTTGCTCTCTCGATCATTCCATCCGATTGTGGCCTAAAGGGGGTAGTGCAGGTTTTTTCTATACCGAGTATATCACAGATTTCTTGAAATAGCCCAGACTCAAAGGATCTACCTTGGTCGGAATGCATTTCCATGGGTACCCCAAATATCGAGATAACTCTGTCAATAAGAATTTTAGCTACAGTTTGGGCTTTTTGATTTTTGATGGGGAAAGCATCAACCCATTTAGTGAAATAGTCCCCCCCCCCCCACAAGAAGGTATGAATTCTTTCTCTTTGTGAGGGGAAGTGGACCCATTATATCTATGGCTAGTCTTTCCATGGGTGCTCCCACTATATATTTCTGAAGGGGTGCTTTGGGTAGCTTATGGGGGGACTTTCTCGATTCACATATGTCACATTTGCTACAGAGGGTTTTAATGTCTTCAGACATATGATACCAGAAGTATCGGTCTCTGATTTTAGACAAAGTTTTACGGACACCCAAATGGCCGCCAGTGACTTTATTATGTAACTGTAGAAAGACAAAGTTTTTCAGGGATTGGGGTAGGACCATTTGATATTTTGGTTGGACATCTTCCCAAATATGGTAGAGTATGCCATGTAGATATTTTAGGGAATCATATCTCGCCCAATAATATTTATGGGCTTCAGAAAGGTGTGATATCTCTTCCCATTTAGGCCTCTCATCGGATTTTACCCATTCTATGATAGTCTGGAGGATAGGGTCTTGACTCTGTGATTGTTTAATATCGGTTATTTCCGCAGAGTGAGAATTTGATTCAGGGCAGATATTTTGTTCAATATTTTGGGATCTGGTTTTGACAGAAAAACAGTGTAGGACATTTGATTCAGTGTCATATCTGTTTTCCGCTTTATTGCAGTGTTTACAGTCGTCAGGACAAGGTCTCCTGGAGAGGGCATCAGCATTGCCGTGGGATTTCCCAGCTCTGTGTTCTACTTTGAATTCATACTGGGACAGAAACTGAAACCAACGGGCAATTTGGCCTTCCGGATTTTTAAAGTTTAGGAGCCAGGTAAGTGATCCGTGGTCAGTCCTAACTTTAAAAGATCTGCCATACAAATAATGGTGAAAATTTTTAATGGATTTTACTATGGCTAAAAGCTCTCTGCGAGTAACACAGTATCGTCTTTCAGTGGCACTGAATGTTTTACTGTAATAGCAGATGACTTTTTCCACACCATTTTGTTCTTGAGAAAGTACAGCTCCTAATCCATTATTAGAAGCGTCAGTATCGAGGATAAATAATCCTTCGTTGTCGGGATAGGATAGGATTGGAGAACTTGTCAGGGCTCTTTTGAGTTTATCAAATGCTTCCTGACAGTCTCCATCCCAATGAAACTCTTGTTTTGACTCTGTAAGTTTATGGAGGGGCCTGGCAATGTCGGAGAATTTGTAGACAAACTTCCTGTAATAAGAACATAGACCGAGAAAACTTCTAACATCTTTGACTGATAAAGGGGTTGGCCAATTTAGAACAGCTTCAATTTTGGATGGGTCAGTGGCAATTCCCCTTTCATTCACTACATGTCCTAAGAATGAAACTTGTTTCTGTAGCAGACAGCACTTTTTGGGGTTCATTTTAAGATTTGCTGATTTTAATCTACTGAAAACTTGTTTCAAATTGATAATATGCTCATCAAAGGTTTTGGAAAGAATGATAATATCATCCAAATAAACCATACATATTTTCCAGGACAAGTTAGAGAGGACTTTTTCCATAAGTCTTTCAAAAGTGGCACCTGCATTACACAGACCAAAGGGCATACTGAGGAATTGCCAATGACCCCCACCAGGTATTGAAAAAGCTGTTTTGGGTTTGTCATCATTGGACATTTTAATTTGCCAATAACCACTCTTCAGGTCGATGGTGGAAAACCATTTAGATCCAGCTAGGGCGTCTAGGGTGGTATCTATTCTGGGAATTGGGTAACTATCTTTAAGTGTCACGTCGTTTAATTTTCTGTAATCAATACAAAATCTAAGGGACCCGTCCTTTTTTTTAACTAGGACAATTGGGGAACTCCAAGGACTATTAGAGGTTTCTATTACTCCCTTATTTAACATATCTTCAATTTCTTTCTCTACTTCTCCCATTTTTGCTAAAGGTATTCTTCTAGGGTGTTGTTTAATGGGGGGAGCATTCCCAGTATTGATTTTATGTTCAACTAGATCAGTAAGTCCCATGTCAGTAGAAGAGATAGAAAAACTTTTCTGAAATTCAATAAGAAGATTTTCCAATTCTTGCTTTTGTTCAATTGTTATTTCTTTTGAAACTTTTTCAAAAATACATTGCAAGTGGTCAGGAAATCGGGAAGCGAGTTCAGGGCTAAGAGTATTAAGGGTATGGGTAATGTCATGGTCTTCCCGTTTGTCTAGTACTTGGTCAACACAGTTGACTGTGGCAATTTGGGTATTTTTAAAAAGTTTAATACTTTCATCTTTCAGATTCATGTAACGAACTGGGACCTCTTTGTTTACAGTAATGAGGGTTTGGGGAATCATCAATTCGTGTTTCTCAACAAATCCCGGGACGGGTTCTATGATTCCAACTGCATCCTTGAAATGGGGGTTTTCTACCCTTGCAGGGGCAATATATTCACAATGGGGAGGAATTTCAATATCCTCGGCAAGACTTATCTTGCTACATGATACAACATTTATGCAAGATTTACTAAAGCAGGGAATTTCTAGACCCTGTACCTTTAGCTTCATCTTTTTCACAAAAAGGTCACATGAATTCTGGGTCATAAAATCCAACCCCAATATGCATGGGTTTTGTATATCAGCCACAAGTACTTTATGAGTAACCTGAACATTTCCAAGGGACATTTTGATTAGGCACTCTCCTTTAACTGGGATTGCCTCACCACTTGCAGATGTAAGTTTGATAGATACCGGGGTAATTTGGGGTTTTTCTATTGGGTCTAAATTTTCATAAAATTGGGTACTGACAATGGACACACTAGCGCCTGTATCTACTAATAAATTTGTCTCTTTATTTCCTACTTTCCCAACCAGATAAATTCCGTCATTTCCCCTTTTTATATCTCTCACTAAAATTTCTTTGGGGGTAGGTGTATTACAATCAGAGATTTCTTTATCAGATTTCTCATTTGTTTTATTTTCAATATTGGGTTTGGGCTTTAGTGAGAGTGGTTGAGCCATATTTAATGGCAAGTGTTGGGGCCTGCCCCTTGCACCTGTCGATTTCCGCCCCCCGAATTCGACACTGGGAAGTTTCCCTGTTTTTGAGGCTGGAAAGGACTTTGCTTTGGGTTTTTGGGGTATTTGCTCCCATTGTTTGAATTTCCTTGTTTAGGTGAACCCTGGGGTCTAGGTCCATAATTTGTTGATTTGTTATTCGGGTAGTTGGGTCGGATGGAATTTGGGCATGAGTCCTTGTTTGAGTAATATGCACTGGGGGGTTGTACAAAATCATGGTTAGAGTTTCTGGTATTTCTTACTAGGGCTTTGATTTCCCGGGTAAGGGATTGCAAGTCATCCCTCAAATTTTGATTATCTTGTTTTAAGGAAGAAATAGGGTCAGACTCATTTATGGCACAGACAGTTTTAGTTCTTTGGGCGTCGGCCAATCTATAGGTTTCTAAACGAATGGCCAAAATTTCTGCCTCATTTATGTCTTTGGGTTTAGCTTCCCTTAACCTTAATCGCATTTCTGGGTCGGGCAAGGCGTCGATAAATTGATCAAGGGCCAGAATGCTTATAATGGTCGGGTCAGCTGTTGGGTATGCTTGGCGAGTTAATTTTTTAATAGATTGGGCCAGTTCGGGTAAGGACTCATTGGCACCCCTAGATTTGGTTTTGAGTTGGGCTCGGAACATTTCCGATCTTTCAATGGAGCCGTATCTCCTATTTAGTATTTTCACAAGGGAGTTAAAATCTCTTCTTTGATTTTCATTTAGTTCGCTCAGCAAGGCCCGGGCACTACCCGTTAGGCTACTGGCTAGGTACAGAGATTTAGTTTTATAGTCCCACCCATGCAAGTCAACTAAGATTTCGAATTGGGCGAGGTACTCGCCAAAATCTTCTGAGCCATCAAATGTTTGAGGTTTTATAGTAATATGGGTCTTTGGTGTAAATGGGGACGGCATTCTGTTTTCATTTCTGTTTATCTCAGGTAAAGGGGAATAATGGGTACCTGACATTGTACCGGGGTTGTATTCCCTTTGCTCACAAACTGGATTTGATCGAATGCGGGGGTGAAAATCATCATAAGAATTGACCGGGTGAATGGGTCTAGGCATAAAATTGGGAAAGTGATGATTGTCTCCCCTATCTTGCACAGGACTCTTAATTTCTTTTTCTAAAATGTCAACATGCTCTCTCAACTTTTGGTATTCATTTGTCATTCCCAGCATTTGTTGATTTACATTGTGCAACATAGACATGATAGCGTCTAATTGCTTTTCATTTACAGGTTGGGCAAGATCTGATGCCTTTGATGGAGAAGGAGGATTGGAAACGGGTGTGGCCACCCTACCATTCTCCAAGCTGTTAGGTGAAGACGGACGGGACTTAAAAGTTACTTCAAAACTTTCTTCGGCTTCCATTTTGTACAAAAAAAAGGACACAATATCAATAAAATGTATTGAATTAATAAAATTATACCTAAGTATGAAATGATTTCTATCTATTTCTTAATTAAGGGTAAACAAAAATGAGATAAGAGAAATCCCACTTCTGACACCAAATTGTAACGTTTCTGGGTGTAGTGGTGGTTTTGGAATACTTTGTATTCTCTTACCACTCTATGGTTTACCCCGTTACAGAAATTATACGTGGGTCTCTTATTTCTGAAATTTACCCAATAATAAGAAAAGATGGTCAATTTTCTATAAATTTATTTAAAATCAATAAAAACAGTTAAAACAGCTAAAAAGTCAGGAATTTACTAAAATATGGCCAAAATCAACAAAAAGTGGCAAAAACTTGGAAAAATGGGTATTTTTATCCCAAAAATGGGTAGACTTCACCTAATGTGGGAAAATCAAGGGACCCAAAACACTGGGTATTAAATGGCATCAGATTCACCCAACTTATAATATTCAGCACATATCAAAGTGGGATCATTACCATTCTTATGGGCGCTGCAGGCTCCATACCCGTGAGCAGTGCTGAGACTACTGGTGAATTTCTCTCTGGGCCTTTATTATATAGGTTTTCGTTGATAAGTGAGAACCGCGTCACGCGCAACACATACGTAAGGTACCGTACGAGTTGGCGCCGTTTTTGTTAGACACAGTACACAAAGTTAACAATCGCACAGAAGTGGCGATTAGGTAATAATAAGGTGTTGCATATATTATATGCTGTAATAGAGTTAAAGAAAGATGCCTGGGTAACGTTTAGGTGAGTCTACTTTTTAGGGTGTCTTTTGTTTATAGTATGGGTCATTGTAAATGGGTTCGTTTAATCGAGGAAATTCGGGATGTAATATAAACGTATAGTAAACAATCAATACAAGTTAATATATGAACAATACGTTTTCGTGATATCATTTTCATAATATCTAAGGCACACAACAATAATTCATTTATATATTATTAAAAGGGGCTTATAGACAGGGATAAGATGTCAACATTCAACATGTGTAACACTACATTTAAAAAAAGAAATAAAACTTTTAAAAATGCACCAATTGTTATTTACTTTAGGGATACATATAATGTATATGAAGAATGCAAGTTGACTAATTCTCCAAATTCCAATTACATGTACATACATTTAGAGAATTCGGAGAAACTGTGCACTTTTTTCCCTGTCAAAACATAAGGGTCGCAATTTTTTTTGGAGAGGATTTGAAAAATAATTCTACACATACCATGCCTTTAGATTATTGTCTACTTACAATGTACAACATAAGATTACCTTTGTCTCATTCTTATACAACAATTTGTGAAATATGAAATCCTTATTGATGTACAATATAAGACTTTTGCTTGTTCCCATAATCTTTATGCGGATACCAGAGGTAACAAAAAGTTAATAAAACCAGAAGTCACCTTATATTGTACATCAGTTGGGGGACCAGAGGTCACCTTATGTTGTACATCAGTAGGGGACATCAGTAGGAAGACCAGAGGTCACCTTATATTGTACATCAGTAGGGGGACCAGAGGACACATTATATTGTACCTCAGTCCGAGGACCAGAGTACACCTTATACTGTACATCAGTTGTGGGACCAGGGGTCAGCTTATATTGTACATCACTAGGGGGACTAGGAGACACCTTATAGTGTACATCAGTAGGGGGACAAAGGATCACCTTATATTGTACATCAGTAGGGCGACCATAGGTCAACTTATATTGTACATCAGTAGGGGGATCAGAGGTCACTTTATATTGTACATCAGTTAGGGGACCAGAAGACACCTTATATTGTACATCAGCAGGGGATATCAGTAGGAAGACTAGGGGTCACCTTATATTGTACATCAGTAGGAGGACCAGAGGTCATCTTATATTGTACATCAGTAGGGGGACCTGAGGTCACCTAATATTGTGCATCAGTACGGGACATCAGAAGGAAGACCAGGGGTCACGTGATACTGTACATCAGTAGGGGGACCAGGGGTCACCTTATATTGTACATCAGTAGGGGGACCAGGGGGTCACCTTATATTGTACATCAGTAGGGGGACCAGGGGTCACCTTATATTGTATATCAGTCAGGGGACCAGGGGACACCTTATATTGTACATCAGTCAGAGGACCAGAGGTCACCTTATATTGTACATCAATTAGGGGACCAGAGGGCACCTTTTAATGTACATGAGTAGGGAGACCAGGGGTCACCTTATATTGTACATCAGTATGGGGACCAGAGGACACCTTATATTGTACAACAGTAGGGGGTCCAGAGGACACCTTATTTTGTGCATCAGTAGGGTGACCAAAGGTCACCTTATATTGTATATCAGTAGGGGGACAGAGCCTTCAGGTTAGTTTTAATCGTCACTAGGTGGACCAGAGGTTAACTAATATTGTACATCAATAGGTTGATCAAAGGTCACCTTGTATTTTATTTCATTATGGAGAGTAAAGGTTACCTTTATATTGTACAACAGAAAGGTTACCAGAGGTCACCTGATACTGTGAAGACCAGACGTCAGATTATATTGTACATCAAAAATGGAAACAGAGGTTACCTTATACATCAATAGGGGGTCAGAGGTCACCCTATGTTGTAGATCATTATGGGGACCTAAAGTCACTTTATATTTTACAAAACAAGGGGGAAGGGGGCAGAGGTCACCTTGTATTGTACATAAAGAGGGAGATCAGTGGTCTCCTTTGTTCTGCATTTTTAAGGAAGCCAGACATAAATAAGATTTATATGAATGCAGAAATAAGCCATCAACGATTCTAGACCCGTGTTAACCAAGAGTCATATAAAAAGAAAATAAGGGCGGACCAGAGGTTACAGATAAAATGCATATCATTGGGATACTCGAGGTTCTCTTATAAGAACATGACAAGAGGCCTATGGGTCTTATAGGTCATCTGAACATCATATAAAACTTTAAAACAATTGAATTAGCTTCGCGCTTTGAACCAGAGGCCACGACATTCGCAACTGTGAAAAAAAAGCACCATTGCTCATCGAACATAACTATACTTAGCATAATAATTTTGTCTACTTAATGTCTATATAGAGCGAAGGGGAACAAAAAGTGCATTTCAAATAATCAGTAATAATTAGCAATAAATAGTAGTGCCCATTGACCACAAAAAATCGACATCCTGTTGTCATACATTTCACAATGTTGGAGAAGGCACCCTTGTTCATAAAAAAAATTTGGTTCATACATGTACCAAAGAACAAAATTCAAACCATTTATTCAATTACAGTATTTAATTAGAGCCCCCAACCCTCAATGGTACCCATGAGCAAGGGACCTTGAAATTTATAATTTTGGAAGAGGCTCCCTTGCTTATCATAACTATATGTACATGTAGTTAGTTTAATTGTTATCCAGGAGCAGAGAGGAAGATTTTTTAAAGAATTAATGAATTTTAACTTTACAATTTATATAGCCCCACCGTAACACCAGAACCCCTGACCTTTGGGTTACGAATTTCAAAACTTTGGAGAGAATATCCATTCCTCATCATATCTATGCATGTAGTTAGTTTTTTTAATATCCAGGGACAGAGGGAAAGATTTTCAAAGAATAAATGCATTTCACAATATAAATTTTTATAGCCCTGTCCTAACCCCAGGGCCCCTGACCCTGGGACAATAAACTTCACAATTTTGGTAGAGGAGTCAATGCTTATGATAATTATGTCAACAGTTATAAGGCTTGATGTCCATCAGTAAAGAAGATTTTTAAAGATTTCATCAATTGTAGTAGTTTCGCCCCAACTTTTTTTTTTTTTTTTTTTAATTTTTTCTTTTTATTATTTACATTTCCATTGTATATAAACAAAATTTCATATAAATTGCTTGCTACATAGTGGTATATATACAAAGGATTTTAAACTCACACACACCCTCCCTTACATTCACTCACACATATCGGATTTAACTGGAATCATACGGAAAAAAATTAAGGCTGCTTTTATAATTCCCTACTTCAATTGTTCACCAATCATAAAAAGCGATTATCAAAAGCAAACATACTTAAAGACATTCAAATTATAATCAGATCAAAATAAACATGTCAATTTGATTCAAACATTTTCTTCCAGGAGTCCCATTTTTTATCAAAAAATGACAGTTTAGAGTTATTAATTGATACACACCTCTCAATATTATATTTCAATTTTAAATGATTTATCAAACCAAGAAAGTTTGGTTTTTTACATTGTAATAAGCAAGTAAAAATATATTGCTTAGTATATAATATAACAAAGTTTATAATTATGTTATCTTTAGTGAATGGCATTTCACCCAAAATAATATTTTTGAAATTAAAACCAATTCTTTTAGTAGTTGTTCTATAGATATGCATACTCAAATTTCTCCATAAATCCACTACATCATAACAAGTTACAAATACATGTTGAATAGTTTCAGTATCCTCTTTACAAAAGCTACATGAATCAGATGTTTTTATATTAATTTTCTTAAGATAGTACCCGACAGGTAGAATTCTATGAAGAAGTCGGTATTGAAGCCATTGTACTGAAGAATCATTTGTTGTCTTGAAACACACTCGAAAAACATCTTGAGTGCATATCTCATTCACTCCATGAGAAGACAACTCTGAATTCCACTTTGAAATTGCTGTAGGCTTTAAACAATTTTTGTTTATGACATTGTAAATAATTTTTGAACATTTTGTATTCGAAAAAATATATTCAAAATAAAACGGTAAATAAGGTAGACAACTTTTGTTCAATATTGTTCTCTTAATAGCCATATTTTTAAAACATTTTGCAATGGCACTAATAACACTATTGTACTGCATTACATTTACATTAGGAAGATTAAAATTTTTTTGGAAAGCAGACTTTGAAAGAAAAATGCATTCTTCAGACAGAAAATCTCCAACAGTTTTGACACCTTTCTGATACCAATTTTCTATAAAAAATACTCTTATTTTCAATC